TAGTGTCCTGCATTAGCCAAAATCATGACAGTCCACCATGACTAGCTAATCAAATCGCATGTGAATAAATGCAAATATTCCCTAAACATACCCAGTAAAGACCAGTAAAGTCAGGATGCGCCGGCTTCCCTTTAAATTTGATTGATGATTGTGCCCACGCCTGCCTCTCATCTCGACAAATCACGTGAATGCAAGCGGAGTCGGTCTGGGGCTTGAGTGCATGTCAGGGAGGCGCGCAGAGTGATAAAATAATATTTAATTATTGACTCCTAATTTGAATCTGTACATTATAACGAAAACAATACCTTAAAAATTAAAAGCAGCAAGTTTTTGTAATCAGTTTTTTTTTTTTTTAAACCGGTAAACTTTTCAATTCAAGGATCCAGTAAACGAATGCCTTCAAACAGTAGCCTATAATTTCAAAACAGCTACGGAGAAAACCTGACCGATTTCATTAGAGTTGGCTTAGAGTCACCTCCAGAATTATTATTTTCAGCGTGTATTTGGCTTAAAAGCACGAGTGTTTTATAATGTAGGCTGCTGAAACCTGAAGGTGTTTTTTAGATTCTGAATGGATGACCTGTACAGTCAGGTCAAGGCAGTAGGTTTAGTGATCTTTTGGCGTCTCCTTGTGGTCCTGTTTGATATTGCAGCTTGACTAGTGCTTAATTTTGCACTATATAGTAGGCTATATAGATACATTGTAAAAAGGTATGGGGGAAGTAGGGGGTTACTATTTGCCCGTCACTGTATGCCATGGAAGAAACAGTCAGTCAAACATAGGAGTAGGCTGCACAATTCTGGATAAATTTATCACAATTTTTTTTTCTTTTTCTTTTGTATCAAATAGAGATCATGATCCTCCTACAGATAACTAAACAAAATAGCTTGTCTACTAGAGGTTCTGACAAAATGTTAATTGTTGCAGTCTATGTAATTTTTACATTTTAATTATTTATTGCAAAATCTGCACCTCTTTTGTGGCTAATATTAATTTCATAATGATCCTTACTCCGTGAAGTCAAGTATAGCAGAAGTTACAGAAAGTGAAAATGTGCAAATACTACTGGCCCATTTGGGGTGAACTAAATATGCAAGACTAGTCTTACGTCACTTTTTATAACACAGGCCGTTCATCCTTTGCTGGGCCGCTTAAAAAAATGGGGACATAAATTAAGAGTATACCCACTTCTCCAGGCACCACTACACCACTGCTTATAGGTCACCATTTTCTCACAGCTCTTAGTTTGTTTAAAATGGTCCTGTGATGTGACATTTTTGAAAATGCAATGTAGTCAGTATGGTCATAAAAGCTATATGACTGATAGCTACAAGAGGAGAAGCAAAATGCGGTGTTAAATTATTTTAGGTAGAGAACTGTGTGTCAGCTACCCATGAATACGCATATATAAACATGCAGTCAAACGAAGGCAAATACAAGTAGCTAATAGGTCGAAACACAGCACAGAAAATCCTGTACATCCCAGATAAAACTCTCCAATACAATACAGATGGTTTCAAAGCAGCTTCATATAGTAATAAACAGGAATTAGCAATAATAATAATAATATAATCAATTATGAAGCAAATCCATGAAACGACAGTTTCAGAATAGTGACATTATTCAGCTCAATTGAGTTCATTTTCATTCAGTTCACTAACAGTGTCAATATTCATTAATTACTAAATTAATTTAGCTGTAAAGCAGCTCTACAGAAGGCAATAGTGTCATAATTCAGCTCAAGTCAGGTCCAGTCAAACACACCTGAACCAGCTAATCAAAGTCTTCAGGGTAACCAGAAACTTCCAGGCAGGTGTGTTGGGCCAGAGCTCAACTCTGGCTTCCCCTGGAGCAGGACTGCTCATCAGCTCGTTAGTAGAGACTCCGAGACCTGAAATGAATGAGTGAGAGAAAGGAGACGTTCGTAATCTGCTGTGTCGGGCGACTCCAGGAACAGGTTTGAGAACCACTGTATACAGATGGAGATGAGAGAAGTCGCTAAATTGGCAACACTGAATGTAACCATGTTCTTTAGCAGGGGTCCTGGAGAGCTACTGTCCTGCAGATTTCAGCTTCAACCCCAATTAAACACGCATCAGGCAGCTAATCTCTAATTACAGACAGGTGTGTTGGAACTGAACTCTGCAGGAGCTCTTCAGGAGCAGGGTTGGAGATCCCCGTTCTATCCACCCTTTTCCTAACGAGCCTGCTGCGTTTTAAATTATGGGAGGCACTTCCGGTTTGGGGAAGTTCCACTCAAAAAGACTGCAACAAATCATTTCAGAGCAAAAGACTGTGCTACAAATAATCCTTGTCCGTCATTTTGACTGAATGGGCTGTAAATTTCCATTCATTTTCTATTTTCAGAAGTCAGGAGAATAACGTTAGGTTTGGTAAATTAATGTGACGTGATATTAATAATTAGTAATATAATTTATGCATTTAGCAGACGCTTTTATCCAAAGCGACTTGCAGTGCATTCAGGCTATAAATTTTTTTACCAGTATGCGTGTTCCCTGGGAATCGAACCCATGACCTTTTGCGCTGCTAACGCAATGCTCTACCACTGAGTGTTTCATGTTTCCTTTGTATTTCACTGCAAGTTGATGAAAAAAACAAAACAAAAAGACAACACAGGCTACTGTGCATTTGTGGTCTGCTCTCCCGATTTAAATTTACAGTATAAACCATGACTAATTCCCTGGAATGCACTAAGGATCTTTCATTTTTTTCTCCCCAAATCCTCACGTCTCTTTCCAGGTTTGTTTTCACACGGATGCTGTAAAATCTAATTGTTACGAATTACATTCGTAATTACGTTCGAACATTTAACACGTCCGTAATATTGCTGCGGACAGAAGGAGGCTCTTTAGGAGTTATTCATGGTATGCTGAAAGTAATTTGTTAATGCTTTTACACTTTTAATGTCCCCTCATTGTACCCAGTTTTTGAAAATGCTTATTATTGTGTTAATAGAGTGAACCTGTTGCTGATTGTTTACAGCGTGAACGGAAGTTACTCCCATAATTTGCACAAAGCATCATGGGGCATAGAAAAAAGGTGGACAGCATGAGACCGGCTTTAGCCCTGTACTACTCCATTTCTTTTCAACAGAGTGCTCCATTTGTGGCATATTTTTGTAAGGCCAACTCAAAAGTTCAAATCACCCTGGGTCCCTTGACAAAAACCCAACAGAATTTTTCCATTGGGTTTTTTGGGATTGTGAAAAACGAGCTCTCTTAGGCTGCATGTTTGGTTCAAGATAATCAGCATTTATGAATTTTGAAATCTAAATACAACAACCAGAAACAAAAAGTTAGACGTAGGTTATAAACGAACTACGCCACAGTCACATGACTTCAAAATCACCACCATTAAGCTTCCCGCAACTCTTTCAGTCTTGATTTAAAAAAAAAAAAAAAAAAAAAAAAAAAAAGGGCTTAGGTCCGCCCCCCCTAAATGCGGAAAATTAACCG